ATAAGTTTTTTAATGTTCCTTTGAAAAATATCATACATGTGAATCTTCTGACTCTGCAGGAAAACAAAGAAGATAGGATATTAATCATCAGCTGTAACCTGGAACATCTCCCAACCCCATGCAACAAACCCAAACAGAATGTCTATTGGATACTGTTGAAATATTTTACAAAATCAACCAGATAACTTATATTGCTAGAGTGGGAAACAATTTACAACTTATCTCAACAAAAATGTGACTAGCTATTTTGCTAGTAGTGGAAATGGGGGATGTAAACAGTGCTCAGAAGTTGCACCATTAAAAACTGAAAGTGCTAAACACTTAAATATATAATCAGAATGACAATTTTCTTCCATTCAAATTCAAGATCCCAATAAAGAAAGTTTGAGATCATCAGGGAGGAAGAAAGTAAGCGATTGTCAGGGGTCAATGTTATATAAAAAAGCTTTTGAAATCGTCAAAATTTGTGGGAAAAAATTTATCAATGACTGTCAATAAAGAAATAAAAAATTAAGAATTATCATTAATTAGGGTTGGTAGCAATATCAAGTGGTTATTTAAAATAAACCCAGTATTTTCAGATGTAAAATATCTAATAGACTTCAGAAACAGTATTTTTGATATGGTCATATTATTATAGTCTAGTTTATGGTCCTCTTTGTTATAAAACATTTGCCTACTAAAGTGTGTAATTGCTTTTTGGAAAACTTATACATCAAAGCAATAAAATGTCAATCATGGTTGACAAAGCTTTCGCTCTTTCACACTGAAGTACTGTTAAAAATTTACTTATATGTGAAATTTAAGACTTTGAAATTAATTTAATAGATTTTGTCTATCTTATGGAACTGAAAATAGTGATGTTTGAAGTAATATATCTAAACTTATCATCAGTGTTTGAGAAGAAAAATTTTTCACTAAGCAATAGTTATATGAAAATCTCATTGGATTTCATAGAGAGTACCAGTATAATGCTATGGAAAGTATGTGATATTTCAACCAAGATTTTAGGAGAATTTCCAGTCTGATTTAAGTTGGTTTAAGTCACTGTGTTTGAAAGATGCAGTGGAAGATGTAAGATAAAGCACTTTAAATCTTTCCACCATAAACTTTTATTCTTCAAATAAAATATGGTTAGGGATTGAATAATACATTCAAAGAGCTTAGAATTTAGAAAATAAAAACTGGAGGAGACCTCAAGGGCCTCCTATGGGGTAAGAGCTACAAAAGCAGGTTGAAAATTGTGTCAAGATTTGGATTTTTTTAAAGAGAAATTATGGAGAGCAATAGTCAAACATTTTGAAAGTAATTTTTTAGAGATTCAGATTTAATAAGTGATATCCTAACAAAAGAGTCAACATCTGGCCTCTCCACACGGCTTGCAGGATCTTAGTTCACCAACCAGGGATTGAACCCCTGCCCCCTACGGTGGAAGCCCAGAGTCCTAACCACTGGGCTGTGAGGGAACTCCTATACCAGTTCTTTTCTGTAAGAAAAAAAAGCTTCTGTGATGGTTAATCTGGGGACAGTGTATACAGATGACTACAAGAAACTAGGGAAGAAAAGCAGAAGATGTCACGAAGTGGGTGACTCTCTTGTTTGTCCCCAGGGATCCTCCTTCCTTCTCTGCTCTTCTGTTTTGGCAAAGCTGACCTGATGGGCTCACCCTGCTTCCAGGTACTCAGCCTGCCCCTGGGGTTTGGCAAGTTGGAGAATCAGTAAGAGGTCTGAGAAAGGAGGGTCTGAGGTCCAAGTGATCATAGCTAGTTCCCTCCCAGCCTGTGGGGCGGAAGGGGTTGGTGATGGAGGGGGGAGTCTAACAAAGGGTCAGCAGCTGCTCCTCCTACCCAGTTCTCTTCTGAGATGGTTTCTGCTCACTCCTCCTCTGGCCTGGGCTGGGATATCTCCCCACTGTGACCAGCTCTTGGGTGCTGCACTCTTTCTTCCTGGCCCCCCTTCTAAGAGTTGCTTCATTAAACTCTCCCCCAATCACCCATGTGCCATCTGTTTCCTTCTGAGACGCTAACTGATTTGTATCCATTTGAAGCAACAAAAAAAGAGTATCTATTCCAGAAGAGAAATAAAACTATTAAATTTTTAAAAATTATTTATTTTTTCATTGGAAGGACTGATACTGAAGCTCCAATACTTTGGCCACCTGATATGAAGAGCTGACTCATTGGAAAAGACCCTGATGCTGGGAAAGATAGAAGGCAGGAGGAGAAGCTGGTGACAGAGGATGAGATGGTTGGATGGCATCACTGACTCAATGGACATGAGTTTGAGCAAGCTCCAGGAGTTGGTGATGGACAAGGAAGCCTGGCCTGCTGCAGTCCATAGGGTTGCAGAGTCGGAAATGACAGAGCGACTGAACAACAATTAAAATTTTTATTTTTTATACCACTTGAAAGGTTACTTTCCCTTTATAGTTCTTACAAATATTGGCCATACTCCCCATGTTATACATTACATTCTTGACCCTGTTTTACACCCCACACTTAGTACCTCCCACTCTCCCACCCTTTATCTACCCCACAATGGTAATCACTGAGTTGTTCTCTGCTTCTTTTCAGTTATCTTCACTAGTTGGTTCTATTTTTTTAGAATCCACAAATAAGTAATATCATAGTGTGTTTGTCTTCGTCTGACTTATTTCACTTAGAAAATGACCTCAGATTCCATCCATGTTGCTTCAGATGGCAAAATTTTCTTCTTTTTTTATGTCTGAGTAGTGTTCCATTGAATATGTATACCACACCTTCTTTATTTATTTATCTGTTTATGGACACTTAGGTTGTTTACCTATCTTGATGATTGCAAATATATGTTGGGGTGCAGGTATCTTTTTTTGAATTAGTGTTTTTGTTCTTCTCAGATACATACCCAAAAGTGGAATTGCTGGGTCATATGGTAGTTTTGTTTTTAGCTCTTTGAGAGGCCTCCATACTGTTTTCCAAATGGCTGGACCAATGTACATTCAATGTACAAGGATTCCCTTTTCTCCACATCCTCACCAACATTTGTTACCCATGTTAGATTTTTTTAAAGTAAAACTGTTAGACTGTTTTTAAAAGGAAGAAAAATATCTCTTGTTTGACAACATAAAGTGAAAAATTTAATGAATGTTTATGTTCTTTCAATTGATCGAATCCTGAAGCATGACCAAATAATATTTGGGTTGTTGGTGAGCAAAACTAAAAAGATGAGGCCAATTAATTAAATATGACATTCCAATGAATGATTTCGTATGATTCTTCCAGTAATAGAGATGTAAAATGCATAACAGTCAGCACCACAGTTATAATATATAATGACTGGTTGTATATTTTTAATAGTGTCCAGGCATCTACCATAACCATCCCATCCCATAGTAGAGGGTTTTCCTAATATAATAGTAAATGATAGATGGTAGAAGCCAAGTTAAGAATGGGAGTGAATGTGCTTAGTCCCTGTCGTGTCTGACTCTTTGTGGCCCCATGGACTGCAGCCCACCAGGCTCCTCTATCCATGGGGATTCTCCAGACAAGAAGGCTGGAGTGGGTTGCTATGTCTACCTTCAGGGGATCTTCCCAACCCAGGGGTTGAATGCAGTCTCCCACATTGCAGATGGATTCGTTACCATCTGAACCACCAGGGAAGTGTAAATTAAATAATACAATCCATACTTTATATATGTTTTTACAAAGCAATATTCCAGTTTCTTTTAGTCATTGTCTGGTGTTGACTCATAACCACAGTTTTTCATAAAACTTAGGAAACAGTCAAGGGAACAGGATCCATGTTTTCTTCCAGGCATAGGTCGCAAGGGGTAGAAATGGACTCACCAACTTCACTGGAAATGGAGACCCCGGACTTCAAGCCCAGGGTACCGTACATGGCTGTAGGGGCAGCAGGCCTCCTGGGATGGCAGAGAGAGGACCCCGGAGAGAATTTACTCCCTAGGTCTCTAGGAATGGGTTTCCCTGGTGGCTCAGTTGGTAAAGAATCTGCCTGCAATGCAGGAGACCCTGGTTCAAATCCTGGGTCAGGAAGATCTGTTGGAGAAGGGATAGGCTACCCACTCCAGTATTCTGGCCTGGAAAATTCCGTGGACTGTATTGTCCATAAGGTCACAAAGAATGGGACACGACTGAGCGTGTCCTAAGAGTGTTCATGGCTGTAGGGGCAGCCGGCCTCCTGGGATGGCAGAGAGATGGCGCCAAAGCGAACCTACTCCTTAGGTCTCTAGGAATGAAAACACCTCAAAATCGGTGATACTCTGCCTCACCACCTTGCTCCTCCCCGGAGACCCGTGCTCCAAGTCTGGGAGAGCTGTCACCCACCATGGGGAGGCCACCTGCTCTGTCAGACAGGAGCCTCGCTTCTTGTTGGGTTGGCTCCGAGCCCCACCAGCTCGCGGGGAACACCCCACAATCCTGGAGTGCAACCTGGAAGGACATGGGCCCACCCTGGCCTCCCCAGGGGACAGTGTACACCGGAGGCTTGTCTGTAGCACAGGCGCCACCAGACCCGCCAGGTCTGATGAGGTGTCTGAGTGACGGGGGCTCCTGACACATGGAAGCTTCTGACGCACATCCACAGGGGGAGGCGAGGGCAGAGGAGGGGGCGCTAGGGCAGGGAGGGAGTGTGCCTGGGTGTGCAGGCGTGCTGGCTGTGCTGTGCCTGCGAGGCTGGTCTCCAGCTATTCCTTTCCTGATGGCCGCTCCTGGGCCCCGCAGGGATGCCCTTTATGCTGGAGCATTGGGAACAGGGGATCTCGAGAAAGGTAAAGCTCATCACAGCCAGGACCAAGAGGAGGACAGGACCCTAATAAGAGTTCGCACATTGCTTCAACTCTTTCTCCTACCCCGGGAGGCTGGAGAGATGTATTCCATGTATTTATGACTTAGAGTCTCCCTCCTCCCTGCTCCCCCACCCACACACACATCAGTCATGCTCCCGTTCTGAGAATGTCGCTTACAAATTGTTTTAATGTGGCTGTGATGATGACATCCTCACACACTGGGAAGGGATTCTCCGGGGGCCCGGGCAGCTGGAGGGGGTAATAGGAGGGGGCCGACAGTCGTAATCCTCCCGTGACTCCTGAGCACGAAGAATCTGTCGGCTCTTCAGGAACCGCAGTGTCAGGCCGCAGCTGCCCCCCGAGGGGGCTCGGAGGCAGTTCAGGCAGGGCGGCCCAGGCCCGTGGTTTGGAGATGCATCTTGGCCAAGACTGCTGTCGGCGCCTGGCCCTGGCATGGAACCACCTCGGAGGTGGGCCAGGGCTCCTCTCCTCAGGTTGCTAATTCTTACATCACCTCTGGAAAGAAAGGCAGACGTGGGCAATGGGGCAGTGAGCCCCCCCAAGGTGAGTGCTGGGTATGTGTGACTCCTCTCTCAGGGTAGGGAAGTGGTTGGGGGGACAAGGCACCACCTCCCCCGGGTGACAACCACGCACACGAACGTGGCTGCCTGGCTTGGTGGGCATGGAGGACGGGAGTAGAGGAAAACAGCCACCTTCTCCAGCTGAGTCCCCTGTTCCAGAAACCTGCCCCCTGGTTGTGGTGGCAGCTTTGCTGTCTCACCCTCCCCTGTCTTCCCCAGGACCACAGTATCCTTTTCCTCATAATAAGGACCACAGCCTCCATCTTGCACCAGGAACCACCAATTCACATCTCCCTCCTTGGCCTGGGCCGGTACTCAGCACGCTCATTGAGCACCTACTGTGTACCAGACTCAGCACACTTATTGAGCACCTACTGCATACTAGACCCAGGAGGACTAAGCCTTGAAAATTCATGAATTCCAACTGATCTAGGTCCAGATTCCAGTTTGGCTGCTTACAAGTTGTATGACTCTCAGCACTGCCTAACTTCCCTGAGCCTCGGATTTCATAAAAGGGGGACCATCACACGTACCTCAGGATGCAGTTGGGAGAATCAAGAGAGATGATACTTGTGGGATTCTTAACACAACCAGCAGCTACTCTTTCTTCCTCAGTTCTCTTTTTCTTCCTCAAAAGTATGGGCCTTGCTGTGTGTCTACAAGTGCCACAGCATCTACCCCATAGGGAGCATCCCACAGAGATGGGCGAGACCCCAGATGCTGCCTGGTGACGCGCTGGGACAAAAGAACCTATATGCCTCGTGCAGGGGGATCTCGCTGCACCTTGGTTGTGGCCCTTAGGGTTGGAGATGTCTTTAGACACTGTCACTGTTTTTTTCTTTTTCTTCTCTCTCTTGCTTGCCAGTGAGCCAGTCAGGACCCAGGGAGCTGGCAGCTTGCCAAGCAGAGGAGCAGGGAGCCTGCTGAATGGGGCCAGACGATCTGGTTCGAATCACAGATAGTGCACGGGTTGCAAGGGTGCTGGTGCTCAGGGTTTTACGCCCTCAATGTTCACCCAACTCCTCTGAAGCCTAGTGCTCATCCCTGTTCTGTCTTCTAGGTAAGATTGTCGGCAGGGGACAGGGCACCAAATGCATAGGACTAAAATGCCACAGAGCTTTGGCGGTGGGTGATTGCTCCTTATTAAACCATGGGCACCTTTGTGCTGACCGAGACGACTGTCACATTGGAGAGGACAGGAAACAGGATGTTGACAAAACTACTAACTCACCGAGTGACCCTGGGCGCCTCCTCTCCTGTTCTTGGAGCCCAGAAGCTGTGCCCGGCAGTCATCACATCCCTCCGGGATTTGAAGGTGGATAACATTGAAACCCGACAAACCCACTTCAACTCTAGACCATCTGTTGGTGTTGCGCTCCTTGGCTGCTTTAGGCCAGACTCTCTTGACGGTCACCCTGGGGGTGTCTGGCAGGTGGGGGGTGGCCCAGGCCCTTGCTACAGCCCACATGCAAGGCAGCTGTGGGGGTTGAAAGCACATTTTTGAGTGGAAAATCATTTTCCTTCGACACACAGTCTGGCAGCTGGAGGAGACGGAGGTCTCTGACCCAGGGGTTTTCCAAGCCCGGTCAGACTTCTGACTCCTACGCAGTGCATTTCTGCACCCGAAAGGCAGGGAGGGAAACCTAATTCACCCACTCGCTGTTCTCAATTGAGGCTCTTGACAAACCACCAAGTTACCCATCTTTCCGACCTCTCCCTGGTGTTTTATGCTGTTTTGCCTGTAAGTGGTCCCACATCACATCCCAACCCTATAAGGCATCACAGAAAATCAGGGAGCTAGCGAGCCTCTGCACTGGAAGAATCAAGAAGTTTGATTCCACTGGTCTTCAACTTTTTTCAGCAGTTTTGTCAAAAGAAAATGAAATAACCAGAAACGGTACTTTTAAAGTTCAATTTTATAACATTGGTGTATTATACAGCCCATAAATGAGCACAGGGGTGCTGTTTTGATGGATTTGAGAATTGAAAATTCAGGATTACAGCTGACGGTTATAATCGCATTGACATCAGCACTCAATTTAATTCCCAACTGTTGTTGTTGCAGGTGATTAAGAAGATAAGTAGTTGCAAATGGTAATTGTTTTTAATTAGCTTCAATCTTAGGGTACCCTTCAATTAAACAGAGATGGCTAAGAAGCATCATTTGAGGTATGTTTAAAAACAAGTTCACCTGTCTCTCTGAGAGTTTGGGTGAATTGGCAAGTTTAGAAACCACAGACAAGTTTACTCAGAGTCATAAACATGCTTTTCATGTCTGTATATCTCAATGCCCAGCACAGCACCCAGCTTGTAGTAGGAGCTCGATAAATGTTTGCTGAATGAATGAACAAACGGTCAGTTTGTTTGATGTTTTAATCCCTAGTCTATCTTCCTACCAAGCTTTCCACTACATCCTCAATGAAGATGATGATGTTGATAGACCTATCTATAGATAGATTTATCTATCGATAAAAGACAGATAGAGAATTAATTGATAGACAAAATAGAGGATAGATAGATTGATGGGTGATAGGTAGATAGATAGATATTTGATTGAGAGGTAGATGATTGATAGATAAATAGGTGAGTGATGATTGACTGATGATAGGTAGACAGATGACTGATTGATGATGGACAGATAGATAGATAGGGATGGCAGGTGGTACTAGTGATAAAGAAACTGCCTATCAGTGCAGTTAGATGCCAGAGACAAGGGTTCAGAAAGATCCCCTGGAGGAGGGCATGGCAACTCACTGCAGTATTCCTCCCTGGAGAATTCAATGGACAGAGAAGCCTAACTGGTGGGCTATGGTCCATAGGGTCACAAAGAGTCAGTCAGACAGGACTGAAGTGACTTCACACTCAACGCACACTAGGAGTGTCTCAGAATCATCCTTGGAAGAATGAACTCTCATTGTCTAGTGCTGTCAATGAAGAGCCCATATGCACATGTTCATACAAAACCTTGACCTCTGCAGTAGACCTTCATCTTGTTAGACACCACGTTGCTCAGCCTCCCTTGCAGCTAGGTGTGGCCACGTAACTAAACTCTCTGGTAGAATATGAGCAGAACTGAGGTGTGTAACTTCTGCGTCACTTACTTACATGAAAATAAATTGTCCCCCCCACTTCTACTATGACAATAAGTTGCCTTGTTCCCTGTGAGTAAGAGCTCTGACCACCTGGATGAAGACAACTCTCCAGAGGATGGCAGAGCAAAGCAATAAGGCAGAAGGAACCTGGAAGCCAAGTGACTGTGTGGAGCAGAGCTTCCCTGCTGGCCTGGACCCTTCACCTCCAGGTTGTCATGGGATAAATAGCCTTCAGTCCAATTAGGCTCCTGGTTCCAGCAGCTTACATAGCCTTCATCCTATCTACTACCCCAGTCTGGGATGTACTCCTTAATTACCGTTACTTTTTGCAGAGGGTATATTTTGCTAAAACTATGAAAGGCAAAGCCAGGATATTGTATGTGGCACCCAAGAGGAAAGGGCTTCCCTCCTAGCTCAGTTGGTAAAGAATCTGTCTGCAATGCAGGAGACACAGGTTTGATTCCTGGATCGGGAAAATCCCCTGGAGAAGGAAATGGCAACCCACTCCAGTATTCTTGCCTGGAGAGGCCCGTGGACAGAGGAACCTGGTGGGCTACAGTCCATGGGGTCGCAAGAGTCGGACACAATTGAGTGACTTTCACTACTATTACTACTTCCCAAGAGGAAAAATTAGACCCTTCTCTCCCAGGATTCAATCTTTCCAGAGATGTGTAGGAAGGACCAAGGTGGTGAAACACCAGCAGAAGAGCAGGTGGTCTTCAGGGAGACGGAAGAGAAACACCCTGGGGGGGGGGGTCCTCATGATTCTTCCATAACCCATAGCTCTGACTACTCCCCTCAGTCCCAACCAAGTTCTAACCTCAGAAGTGTCGGGATAGCCTTTCCAAGAAGCAATATCTTTAAGTCCTTGTCATTCCAGAACTCCCCTCTGGAAGAATTTCCAAGCATTCTCTCTGCAGAGACAGAGTGTCGGGGGGGCATGTGTGCGTGTGTACATTGTGTGTGCGTGTGAATTGGCACATGTGTGTTTGTGCATGCGTGGCTCTGTAAGCGCTAGCTAGAGGCGGCTGAGGTAGAGGATCTAAGAGGCCGCCCTATGGAAGCTGTGTTCTAACTTCCGTTCTCTAAGTGTGACAATGGCCCGGCTGCTCTGAATGGTGACTCTCACAGCAGACTTGGCTTTTCCCCAGACCTCAGCGGACAGCACCATTGGGTAATGCCCCCCGGGGTGCAGGTCCCCGCTGCCCACCAGGCAGCCCCTTCTTGGCTTCAGTGTTCCATCTCCAACATACAAGACCATGGAGCTAGTAGCCCAGTTCTCTCGCAGGTCCTCGTGGTTGTTCCCTTCCAAGGGCCTAACCTTTCCCTCTTGATCTTTCTGAAGCTGACACAAAACCCTGGGACTTCCACCCGGGTAATAGAATCAGGCAGAAGGAGACAGTAACAGAACATGCTGACAAGCCTTTTCGGCTGGCTTTGGGACTGGATGTTTAACGAGAGCAAATGCTGGAAAACCCGGGAAATAAAAACGGAAAGATGCAAATAGGCAGAGATTATCACTGAATTCTTGTAATTGTCTTACAAGTCCCTTTGGAGGGGCAGACAGTGACTAAGAAGGGACTCTGCCATGGGATGACGATTAAGCCTTGGCAGGCAGAGGTGCGGTTTAGAGTTGGTGCTGAACGAATAAATGTTCCAATCTGTTGTTTTTTTTTTTTCTATCACTGGTTTTGTCAGTTTTCCTCCTCCAGCCCCCGCCCCACGAGCTTGTCAGGCGTGAGTCAGGAAGAGGGTGCTGTGGATCCGGGGAAACGGGCTGGGTCCCTCCCGCTTGGCTGATCCCCAGGTGGAAGGGCTGGGTTGGTCCCAGATCTGCCCTAACCAGTCACAGGAGGCGACAAAGCTTTCCTTCCGCCTCTGTAGGCCTCTTTTTCCTCGTGGGAAGGGTGATTCCAGTCACCTCTCACCATCCTTGTTTGCTTGTTTTTCCTTTTATATGTGTGCCTGCCCCGAGGTGGACCCCGGCTATGGAGCTCGCATAAAGGGTCATCTCAAGAGTCCCGCTGAGGCTATGAGAACTTCTGTAACCAAAGGAGCAGTGTCCGCCTTTTATCTGGAGTTGACCTGTCTTATCTGGCTGGGTGAACTTGGACATGTTACTGAGCTTTAGTTTTCTAATCTGTAAAATGGGAGTTGTGAGTACTAACATTTACAGCAACGTGGATGGACCTTGAGGGCATCATGCTAAATGAAACGTCAGACAGAGAAGGACAAATACTGCAAGGGGTCACTTACATGTGTAATATTTTACTTTATTTTTTGATGTGGACCATATTTAAAGTCTTTATTGAATGTATTGCTATATTTCTTCTGTTTTATGTTTTGGTTTTCTGGCTGAGAGGCCGGTGGGATCTTTGCTCCCTGACCAGGGATGAAACCCATGCCCCCTGCGTTGGATGGCCAAGTCTTAACCACTGGGCCACCAGGGAAGTTCCTGGAATTTTTTTAAAATTCAGATTTACAGAAACAGAGAGTAGAAGTGACCGCCAGGGAATGGGGGTGAAGGAAATAGGGAGAGGCTGATAAAAGGGTACAGATTTTCAGCTGTATGATGAATAATGTGTAACATGGTGGCTGTAGTTGATAACACTGATTATATAATTGAAATTCACTTAGATAGTAGAATTTAAATGTTCTCAACCCCTAAATTAAAAAAAAAAGAAAAATAGTGATGGATGTGTTAATTAACTAGATGGGAGGAATTTTTTCACAATGTATATATATATATATATATATAAAATCATCTCAATGTACACTTTAAATATCTCACAATTTTACTATACCTCAATAAAGCTGAAAAAAAGGGAGTTGTGAGAATTAAATAGAATGTTCCACATAAAATGCATAGCATAGTGCTTGGTTCAGAGTGAGCACTCAATTCACACTAAATACTACTGCTATTTTTCCCTGACTTCTTCCCTCTTGACAACCAGATACGGCCTCTGGCTTCTTTAGCATCTCCTTGGCCTCTGACACTGAAACTCAAAGTTGACTTTGGTAAAGATGGTGTGATACATCTTTAAAAGATTTCCCTCCATGCGTAGCTACCGAGCATTGCAGTAGCCACTTTGCATCCTTATTCACAGTTATTTCAGCATTCTTACAGGTAAGGCATTCAGTTCAGTTCAGTTCAGATGCTCAGTCATGTCTGACTCTTTGTGACCCCATGGACTGCAGCAT